GGAAAGAGGGAGATAAGAATATATCAATAGTATTTTAAATAAATGTTCATATACTGTGACTCGGAAACTTTCTTTCAAAAACCCACCCTGAGGTAAACAAGAGAAGTGAAAACCTACTTACATACAATGATGTTCATTTGAACATAAGTTATAATTGCAAGAAACAACCTGAGCGTATGTGCTATTATGAGATCGCTACAGTCATTTAAAACCACATATTAGCATGTTTAATGCCATGGGGGAATGCTTACACTGAGAAAAACATGCAAGATCAAATATATGTATGGGGAAGGTGATTTACCTCCACAGTAGGAGTGTTCATTCCTTAGAACTGAGAGTATAATTTATTGTATTTTACAGTATTCCATAATAAATATCTGTTAATTTAATCATTTAATATATATATATATCTTTCTATACATATATTTATATATAGAAAGAGGACAAGAGTGGGGGAGTAGCAGTGGTTGCTGTCTCTGAAAAGTTGAGCTCAGATCTGGTTATGGGTGAAGGGGTAACTAAGGTGTGACCCCAGAATGCAGGGTGCTGGCACAGGGATGGTGGAAAAGGCAGTCACAGGTGCATTCCTGACCTGGTTCCCACTTTGAGCACTTGCTTTCATTTCCCTGGATGTCCTTGGAGGCACTGTGTAGATGGCGTCTCAGAATTGTTTGTCTGAAGCTCATTTGGTTGAAGCTCTATCCATCCACATCATTCCCTCTTCAGTTGAAGTTTTACTCCTGGGATGTTAATTCCCTAACACTTCGTGTCTGCCAAGCTGGTGATCAAAATGAGCTCACCTGGCTTCAGAAAAAGCTGGGAAAGATTCCTCTGAACCTAGAATACATTATGCTCAAAGGCTCTTGGACCAGAATGACCTTGGCATTGTCTAGGACCGAAGAGAAGGCCACTGTATATGGAAAATGAGAAGGGGGGAGAACAGATTATTAATCCAGGAAGGCAAGGTCTGCGGGGCCAGAATTTGCCTTCTAGGCCATTATGAGGAGTTTGGACTTTACCTGAGAACAGTCTCTTTCTGTGTCAGTTGGACTGTTTATGTTCCTCTGCCTCCTTCA